GATAAGCTAGTATCTTCGAGTTACAAGTATAATTCTAAATACTACTAAAATGTAAAATTATAACATTCTAAAATTTAACTATGAGAAAGAGTCATACTGTAGAATCTTGTGCTTGAAATCAGAAAAGTCAGACGTTCTAAGAGAATCTGGAAGATAGTTCCATAGTTTTGAAGCCATATATGAAAAGGAGTGAAGACCATAAGTAGTAGTTTTTGTAGACGGTAGAGACAGAATATAATTTCCGCGTAGATTATAGGATACAGACATGAAACTAAACATATTCCTTAGATAGCCTGGATAGCAGTTAAAAAACAAGCTCTTGTACAATATAATTAAGAAAGTCTGAAGACGTCTTTTATACAGAGATTTTGAGTTAACTATGCTACGGAGGGAGTCATAGGGAGAATTATAATCCTGCAAGATAAATCTAAGAATTCGCTTGTTTAAAGTATCTACCTTCTCAATACTACGCGCACCACAAAAGTGCCATACAGACGAACAGTAGTTAAAATGTGGCATAATAAAAGCCTTAGACAATCTTAGTAGAGTATCTTTAGAGATAAGTTTACGAAATCTTAGCATTACATTGAACTGGCCATTTATCTTCTTACAAATAGTTGATATATAATTATCAAAACGCAACCTATTGTCAACATTTATTCCAAATATATCCAAAGAATCTTTCAATGGAAAAGAGGAGTGGCCTGATTTTCCAAGACTATAGCCTGGTGTTTTGTCTCATTTACAATCATTCCATTGCTGCGATACCACTGACTCATTTGCAACTCTCACTTCCCGACAAATACAGTTCTCTGGAGCTACTGGGTCGACATCAGAAGAGTATAACTGATGATCAGTAAAATCCGCAAACCGCTCTGAACATCAAAACCGAAAAACCGAACCTTTTTGGCTCAAAAACCGAAAAACCGATCCAAAAAACAGTCAAAACCGCAAAACCGAAAATCCCAAAGCCCCCCTCCTTAATGTTTACCCGGCGTAAAACGATAAACCCTATAGTCGTGTCTTCGGATTTGGTGAATTTGTTAACACACTCTCACACTGAGGTACTTTCACGAAAATGCGCGTCGGCTTTGTAAGAGACTACGGACTGAAGGGCAACTTGTTTACATTGACTGGTTGCAGTATGCCTTTCAGAATACTCTTCCAAGATTATACACCCTGTTTCATCCCACGCAAAACTTAAAGCTCTTCAGATGCTTCTATGAAATGTTTTACACCCGGCCGCCTTACAATTTTGGGGATGGGGAGATGAGGGGCTCAAACATTTTAAAAAAATAGCAATGCCAAAGTTATCTGCAATAAACATAAGAAGAATCAAGTGTGGACCCTTAACATATGCTCTTTAAGGTGTCACTAAAATTTTTCGCCAAGATTTTCTTGGCAGAAAACGTGCATCCTTGAGTGGTGCCAAGTTTTGCAGTGACAAGTATGTTGTGGTGGCGAATTGACCAAATACCTCCTTGTGAACAAAGTAAACAGAAACAAAGGGCAAATATATATATTATATTTTTCCATGTATATTGTTCTTACGACACATAATTGAGGCAAAACCAGATGATACTGCCTGCCTGGAATTTAGTGGATACCAATCAGATTCCTGAAGTTCAAAAACCTGACAAATTACAATATTCCTATCAAATGGAGTTGCAAAAAAAGGAGTCTATTCTTCTATGTTCCAGTATTAGGATCTTTTCTGATGACAGAAAATTTCTCATGAGAGGTTATCAAAGTGATAATCTCACTCAAAGAGTCCACATTGAAGTCAGCATCCTTCTTGAAATTGCCATTTGTTGAATCATTCAGAAGTATTGTCACTTAAAAACAAACACACAAACAAGTCACAATATGGAGACAATGCCTAAAAGTCCGAAAGTAGACTATTAACATAAACAATATATAAGATTTGCTTGTACCAAACTAAAAGTAAACTGTTTTTTAAGCTGATTGTCAAAGCATTAAATATAAGGCTCACAGCTATTAAAACAAGATAAAACCTTGTTTGAATCATTCTGACAATTCAAAAACAGTCATAAACAGCATAAAAATGTTGCTGGATTTTAAAATAGTTTAAAACCCTCTAATTGCAAAATTTCCTTGCCATGGGAATGATACATGATTCTTGCACAAACAGGGGTTCAACAGCTTTTTCTAGAAGAGACTGCAATGGTGGAGAAGGGGGTTGTGACCACAAACAGACCATATAAATCTCTTAAAGCAGTAAGAAGTAGAAGGCCTTTTGAGGGACCACACACTACCACTGAAAACTCTAATGATTCAAGCAGTTTGAGGAACAAAGACTATATTTGCTGACCTGATCCTGCACTTTTACCACACTGTATATCATGAAGATGATCACCAACCATGACAACATTCTTAGGGTGGACTCCCCAGTCTCTGCAAATGTGAAGGAGGGGAGCAGGATCTGGCTTGGGTGGAGTAAATTCACGAGTGAGAGACTGTTGAAGAAATACAAAGAAATACTTTACTGTTTTTTTGGTTGCTTCTGCATTAAAAATAATAATTGAAGATTAGTATGGAATTGATCCTAAAGTAACTTTGGACAAACTGCTGGATTCTCTCTAGACATTGTCGTGCATTCACTTGTGAAAGACAAGGAGAAGTTGAAGCTACATCAAGTCACTTGACAATATTCAAAGCATCCCTTCAACTGCTCACATCTTGAAAATTAAGTTTGGCACTGGTCACAAAGGGCAACTAATGCATATCCTTCAACCTGTGAGATCACAAGCAAGTTGACCCTTTATCTACCAGAATTGATTGACATGAAACTTCTCCCTTTAATATACCATATTTATTTGATTAAGCACCCAACCTTGAATAAGCGCCCACCCTGAAGGTAGAAAAAGTTCATAAGCGCCCAGCCTCAAATAAGCGCCCACCCCCAAAAAGTACTTTTTAAGCGCGCAACCTCGAATAAGCACCCACACCCCCTAAAGGAGGGTCAACCTTGTCATGCAGGACAAGATTGCCTCGCATCCATCCAGCAAGCCCTAACAGCTTCTCGCGTGACCGACCCATTTGCTGACGTTATGCTGTTGGATGGTGAGGAGGCAGCACCAGATTGTTCACTTATTGAGCCAAGCGACGAAGACATTGACGTTGATTGAGAATTATGATAGCTAAAGAGACTTCTGTGAAGACCAAACAGTGAGTTGTTAGTCCTGGGCATAAATTGAACTATGAACAGATACAATTTATATGCTTTAATGTTTTGTTCTTTGTTCTTATTTATTGTTTTGTCACAAAATAAACTTGTTACTTACTGAAAATGGTGAAAATTTAATAAGCGCCCAGCCTCAAATAAGCACCCACCTTGAATAAGCGCCCACCGTGAAAGTCCGAAAAATTAAATAAGCACCCTGGGCACTTAATCGAATAAATGCGGTACATACATTATCTAGCAAACAGATAATGACAAGATTCAAACTCATCAGGTAAAAGTTGTTATCTTGATCTAACACCAAATCCTTTAAACTGGTTTAGATGGAGATATGTAGCAGCTAGAGGGAGAAACTAAAAATACGATCTTGGGAGTAGAGGGGTTGATGCATGGATGCGATGGATCCATGCCTCAACCTTTCAAGAGGTTGCAAGTTCAAGTAAAGTAACAACTAGAATCAGTTGGCAGAGGGAGGCATTTGACATAATTTTCTTTCTTTTTAATTCTACTGTAAGGGTTTACTGAATGAAAAAATGGTTCTTACATGAGTTAATGGACCTCCATAGTCATCAGGATGGCCCATTAATGCCAAAAACTGATCCACAGAAGCCTGTAAATTTCTTGTAATAAGGGCTCTTTTTAATCCACTTGTAGACAAAAATTTGAGTAGTTCAAACACTCCTGGTTGTAGCTTGGTATTTTGCCTTCCTTCCTCTTCAAATTTTACTACAATTTGAAGAGCAGCTTCCTTTTCTTGTCCAATTTTTGAATTACAAAATTCCAAAAAATCAACACCTTTAGGGCACTGAAGCTCCTTGCGAAGTTTAGCAAAGTCCAACACAGGTACAGTAAGGGTGCCATCCAAATCAAAAACAACCCCATGAATTGGAACAAGGGTTGAGTGGTGTTTGGCTTCTGTTGTCACAATTTGTGCTATTGAATAAAAAATGCCTTTCCTTTGTTCATGCTTCAACATAGTAAGTTGTCTTCTGAGGATTCTCACAAGGATTCCCAACATTCACTTAATGTAATCCACAACTTAATAGGGTCCATTCAAGATAAAAAGCTGAAAAAAAAAAACCACAAACATACAAACAATGAAATCAGCGTTTTAATTTTAACTCTGACTATGTCTTTCAATCAGGGTGTTGAAGATCAGTCACAGCAGCTGAAAACAAACCTTAGGGATACCACTAACTAAGACAATCAGACTTTCTGATCACAAACTCGTGGCTAACAAAATTGTGGTCTTTACATTTAACCCTGTTGACGACTCCCACTCAAGTTATTGAGATGGCGGCCACTTTGACTGACACCAGATAACTGTTACAATCAGAACTCATATCTACTGGAAAAGAAGACATAGGAGCCTAAGAAAATAGGGGGTGCCCTGACGACATAGAGAGAAAAATTGGGGAAAACGGCCATCAACAGAAACTTGATGAAGGTGAGAGAGAAGAGAGAAATACAAAATTACTCAATCAATAATGTACATTTACTCACAGTAAAGGGTTCTGGACAGAGGTTAAGGCCTGGTATTGGTCAGAGGTCAGGATTGGAAAGGGGAGATTCTCACCCTACTGTCACCTGTAATTTTCAGTGAAGGTTTAGTGATGGGTGTGAATGGGGGATGGGTCAGTCTTTTTAGTGGGGCTCCCATGCGCACGTGGGGCACAGCCCCATACCGATGGAATATGTTCAACCTCTTTTTGTTTGGTTGTCACGTGACTGACCGAGCATATGTCCATACGTACGTGGGTGCCTTCAGATTGCACGGATAGGGTAGGGGAGACTATCAAAACGAAGGGAGGGGTGTCTCAGGCGAGTCTTGGCAAATGCACATCTTTTAAGTTATCATTAATATTATGAACTTGCGAGCTCCGCTTTTAGGCTTGGCTAAATCTATATATTACTTTTTAATGGTGGCACGCAAAGTGTTATGCAATTACAAAATGCTTCGAAAGGGTCTACAGATTGCTAAAAACAGTGACAAGCTGTTGATGTAAACAAGAAAGCATCCCTTAATCCGCTATGGCAGTTATGTCGAGACACCTAGATGGTGGAAATGCACAATCGTGCAGAGAAGTTAATAACTAGATTTATTACACGCCTCRGGCAGTCAGAGGGCCAATAACTAAAATCAACCAATCAAAATGCTCTATTGCCGGTCAATATTCTCTAAGTATTGGACTGGGCACTGTCCCAAATGGTCCCGAAAGATACCGCACTTGTATCCCTTTGAACTTCACTCGTATAATAAATCTATTACTAAACAAGCTTGCTCGGGACCGTACTGGAAGAATATCAGCGCTCGGTCCGTACCGTCAAGACCTCGGGCCGACATTCTCCCAGTACGGCCCTCGCGCTTGGTTAATAAGATATATTTATTACCATACTTTACATGCCGCTGCAAATACTGTAATACCAAAGAAAATATCCTATATAAAGCACTGAGAACTCTTCAGAACTACCATTAGCATTTGTACCAGTATAGCAATAAAATCTGTCAATGGGACACGGTCTAGACTGCCTCAAATTAAATATGCTCTCAAATAGGTCTTTGTTACCTGGCGGTTCGGAACAATCCGCCTAGAAGTTCTCTAAGTATGCAAAAGGCTCACGTACTTAAAAGAAAAAGAAATAATTTGAACAGGTGTAAATAGGAGATTTCCTTTACTTGCATCCCTCCTCGTTGCTATGATGGGCTTACCTCAAAAGGAAGAAATGTCTTCAGTGTCCTAACCCACACGTCACCAGTAGTTCCACAAAACGCCAGACAAAAGTTGCCGATGGTGTCAAAGACGGAAGCAAAATAGAACCCGGATAGGGTAGGGCAGTCAATATTTACCGTACAGTGCAATATGAAACATGCTCCCTTCTCTATTTTTACATCTTTAAAAACATCCAATAAGTATTTTGTCGAGATTACATAAATTTACTAAATTTTGTAAAAAGAATATGATATTCTCTCTTTTCAAATAATCCCCTCTCCACTCCCAAGAGGTAAGATTAAAGAAGATAGAGCGCTCCTGGGTCGAGAAAACAGCCCCCTTAGCTTCAAAATGGCGGCAAGTACGGAAGAAGAAAGTTTGCAATCAAATTCCATGTCCGAAAAAAGCAGCTTATCGTTTGAAAAGCAAGAGGATAGCGAGGGAAGACGCATGGTACTCTTTAGGAAAGTGATGAAGAAATGTCTGGACAAAATTATGGCTGCTGGAAGGTGAGCTGAGATTATCATAATTACCGATCAGAGCGTTCCATTCACAGTCCTCTCAGGTCTTGATCCGATGGATAAAATAAAAATTTGCCGGTATGATAATCCTTGAGAAAATCAAAGGAAAACAAAAAGCCAGTATCTGACATAAATACTGCATGACTTTTACTTTTCACTTTTTCAAGCCGACGTTTAAGGGTACTAACTCAGTTCTACTTTTAATCGATGTTTTTGTAGTCAGGAAAAGTTTGCCAACTGCTTTACTGCAATGAGAGAAAAAAATCCAGCTGAGTTTAGGAATATCACGGAACAACTGATGGAGCATCTGCAGAATAACATTGAGGTATATTTACTAGGATTGAAATTTTGTGGAGCCCTTTATATCGCAAGTTGTGATCAGTGCACGTGCTTTGGGTAAAGTTACTGCCAGTAATTCGATTGATGTCCTTTCCGAGAGGTTCCTTCTCCCATCTCCATCACAGGAGGATTTGGCTGGGAGTAGAAAGGCTAAAGGGACCATTGCCACTTTTATTGCAGAATCTGCCTTAAAAAAAAATGTCCAGTTAGTGGTACTTTGTCCCACTTTCTGTTACGTACCCTGTTTTGATGTGTGTCAGCTCGGTGTGGGCGTCTATGAGGGTGCTGGAGAGGTACTGCATATTATGACTTGCAAACGCGAATAGTATAGGTTCTTTGGAAACTGGATGTGTCCATTCAAGGGTAATTCCTTACATACTTAATCTTTGCCCTTTCTGTATATTTTCAGAAAGAAATTGACTTGATGATTAAACAGGAAGATCTGGTACATTTCTTTAATGAGCTTGATCATATTGTGGCAGCCTCTAATAAAGAAGATTCACAACCAGCATGGTAATCTTTAATCTTTGAACTCCAGAACAATGACAGTTTAAAGAACTTTGAATAGTTGTATTTTACTGTTAAACTTTGTGCAAATTTACATGATACACAGGAGGCCCTCAGGAGACCCAGAAAAAGATGTTATTGATCATGTCATGCAAGTTAAGCTAGCTTACAAAGAGCAACTGAAGCATATCCTTCAACAGGTAAGAGAAAGAAAACAACAATTGTCATTCTTGTCCTCTTTGTTTTGTGCATGTCACGTTCACCTGTATAAGTTTCACTCCTGTGGAAGTTATAATGACCTAAGACACTTTACTTTCACTGGGTTTCTCTAAACTGAGAAAACTCTACTTAAGGCTAAATTTCTGTGACATGAAACAACTGAGAGAGTCATTTCTCTCCTTGTGTGGAATGTTAGTCCATTTAGGCTGTTTACCTGTACAAGGAGGCCTTTGGTTGAAACCATAATTAAAAAGTTGTAAAGTTCTCTCAAAAATGAATTTGTGCTGAGATTGATTTGAGCTGGTAGATTCCTTCCCCCCCCCCCCCTTTGGTCAAAGGGTACAAACTTAGAACATATTTAAATTTCTTGCCTTATTTTTAGGTTGAAAGTGAAAATGAAAAGTTAAAGGAGGAAGTTTTGCCAAAGCGAGATAAGTTACTGGAGAGTGAAAGACGCATAAATGAAAAAACAAATAGCTTGAGAGAGGTAAAAATGGTTCAGGTCCTTGCGCCTTTTCTCACTCTCCATCCTGTATCTTTAATTAAAATGTCAAGTACATGTATTAATGACCCCTGGGACACTGAATGTTTTATAATCAAAAAAGGGTTATTTATTATATAATTATTAGTTAAAAAATGCTATAAAAAGAACTTGGCCAATATCCAGCCAACTTGACCTCACGCTTGGTCAAGATCTGAATATCAATTTTTCCACACTGACTACCATTTCTTTTCTTCTAATTTTTAGATAAAAAATGTATTAGCATTGAGAAAGTCCATTTTGTTTATTCCTGGCATTGAAAATTTCTCTGTATAATATCAATACAATATCAAGCAGAAAAGTGGCGAGAAAAGCTCCAACAATACTGCAGTGATTTAGAGGCTATAAGAGGCTCGGATGTCAATGGTTTTTCTGTCACCTTAAAATGGTCATTTTTGTTTTTACAGGCAGCTGAATACTGCATAGAAAACAACTCTGCAGTCCTCCATGATCAGTCAGTTCTTCTCTCAACTTGACAAAGAACCCAATTTGTAGTATACTTTGAATTTACCACTGATCTTCATGAACACATTTCAGCACTGTTAAGATGTGTTATAAACAGTAGATGTTTTAGGAATCACAATGTAATTCTTATTCCATGAAGGCATAATACTGAAAATAAAGTGAGATGTAAATACAGCATACCATTGTGCCTACCCCCATCCTTACTTTCATCTGTCACCCCCCCTCCCCCTAGGACATTTCTTTATTTCTCTGACCCATTGCAGCTTTGAGAGACAACAATGGTGGCCACACACTTCACAGAAAGAATTTCGTTGCCAAAAAAAATAATAAAAACATGTACACTGCAAGATATATTTCTTCTAGTTTTTTGCACTTCATCTCTTTCAATTTATTTCTGTTAGGGAATAGGGATTTGTGACAGCTATGTCTGAGAAGATGCAACTAAGGTTTGTCTTGGGGAAATCGGTGATTCTGGAGGTTGCAGAGGTTATGAAAATATCAAATCTGTCACAAATTATGTAGGTGTACAAGACAGTATTGATCATGTACAAAGTGTTTATTTACTCTTAAAGCAATCAAAATATTCTGTAAGAATTTGCAACTACGGCCTGGTTTTTCACATGCACACTTCAAAATTTGATATGTATGCCACCATTTTTAAAAGAACCATAGGCTACCCAGGCTCACTGTTTGTCACATACATGAGGTTAAATAGAGAGAACATATGAGGCAAAGTTCAGGTCTGGAAATTTACTTGAAAATGGAAATAAAAATCATTGAAACTTACTAGGTGGCAATTTGTTGTTGTCCTTAATATGTACACGAAGTTGTGGGAAAAATACTCTTCTTCACCTTTCCTTCATCTTTTTACTCTTCATCTTTCTCTCTATCATGAAGGAAAGGTGAAGAAGAGTATTTTTCTCGAAACTTCGTGTACATATAGTAGAAAACCAGGATTAAAAAAAACCGCTTAAATCAAGTGAAATCAGTAAAATAATGACACCAGGAGCAAACAACACACGTATGGAACAAGG